CATCTCACAGTCTATTATGCAGGAAGCAAACCAGGTACCAACAGTCCCAGGCTGGAAGTGTAAGATACCAGTTATATCAAATGAAGGCAAATAGCCCAACTCAGGCATCCATTCAGGGAGCTGGAATTTATCTTCAGCTTGCGGGGACTTCTGTGCTAATCATTTCTTGGCTACTATGAAGCGCTTCATTAGGTAAGTTGTTATTTATATTCCACTAGCACTCTGAGGTCAGTAGAGATTGGGACCCCTCTCCCCCCCACGCTGGTGACCATACCAAAAAAGAATGCCTGCCCTGTGGAGCTTACCAGCCTTACAGTTGGTAAACTTCCTATAAAGCAAGCAAAAAATGCCAAAAGTTTGGATGAACATACCACAATTAAGGTTTCAGAATAGGTTAAGAAGAACTATATCAGCTCAAGTGCATTGTAAAGATAATTTCAACCAGATTTACTAGATTTAAGTTGCATGTGTTTTAGGATACAAGAACCTGAATTCTTTCCACTTCAGCCATTGTTACATTCTGATATTCCACATGTGCTTTTACTACCAGCGACTACTACAGATCCACCGTTCCTCTGCAGTTACCCAGTGTTAGGCCTGTGAGTTTCCATCTCTACAATAATAGGCCAAGTGCAAACTGAAGTAATGCAGTCAAGCCTGCAAAAAAAAGACAAGCAGTGTCTATGCATGGTGCACAGAGGGTCCATCTCCAGTAGAGTTACAAATGTTTCAGATATCATCTGTACTGCAAATGGAAATGGAGTTATGACAAAGTGCTCCCCATATAAGCTGGGACCAAACTGTACACAGATTAAAATGCCAAGCTCCAGATCACTCAGGAAGTCTGTAGGAGAGCAAGGACTATACCCCAAATCCTCAAAACTTAAGAGTCCCATGCTTTAACCACAACTTCTCCTTCCTCCCTTTAAAAACAAAGCAAGCTACTTTTCTTCAGACACCAATAACTTTTTCTTCCCTGATGAAGACTATGACAAGCCAAGTTTGGCATTTCTAGAGTCAGCTGTTTTGCACTTGCTTATCTAAAAGCAACACAGGTCTCCAGTTCAACACTTCCATATAGTTTTCATCAGTGTAGCTCTTCAGGTTTTATGCCAGCATAAATGAAAGGAAAAAATTAGACACCAAGTGTGTTTCTCCCCTTTGCCCTCATTCATGTACTCTCAGCCAACCAGAGACTAAATCAATTTTAAAAAATTCCTGAAAAAATAGAAGAATTCACCCTTGAGCTGATACCAAGGATGGAAACAAGCAGCTTCTCCTACTCATGAGCTTCCTGGCCCACATACAAATCCTGGAGCCCTGGGAATCCCACTTGCGTCCTGAGAAGAAATGGGAGGACTCAAAATCAAACGTGGCAAATCCTACTGACTAGGAGCATCTCTGTAAGATGGAGAAGTTCTCTCTTCCTGCAAAGCACAGCATCTCCTCTGGGACCCATTACAGCACAATTTTCTCTTCTGCTTCAGTTTTAGTGCCATCTTCATTATGCCATCTGATAACACAGCCTCACCATTGGGACCCGTTAGAGTTTACAGATGGACATCCTTGGCGAAGATTAAAACCTCTCATCAGCGGTTATATTTTGGAACCTCTTAAATATTTTAAGGATGCAGATAAAAAGAAATCAGCCAGAGGCAGACTGTAACTGCACCCAAGAGCTGGCTGCTGCAGACATAAAACAGCTGACACTACAGATTTGGGATTTCCCCACAGCATTTTTAATGTCTTTAGGAAACAAGTGGTTACTATATCTGGAGAGTTCTGCAATTGGTCACACAATTATCAGGGCCAACTTCCTGTGACATGCATAAGAGGCTGACCATTCTCTCTCATACTTAAAGCAGCTTGAGATTCCCTTATTTCAGATTAAAGCTTTCTACTGCTGAAGAACACCATCACTGTGGTGTTTCAGTGACTCTGTTCTAGCGACAGAGAGAAGGGCTGGCTCCTTGTGGGCTGCAGTAATCCACAGCTGGCTAATCTGTGAAGTCATATACTGATAGTATTATTGCTTGGGACAACCAGAGACAAGACATCTTAAGCACAGGTCCACTATTGTTTGGATGCCTCAAATGCACACCATCCATTCCCTGTCTGAAGGGAGAATGCTCCGTATGGCATACAGGGTTCTCAAAAAAATTCACAAGAAGTGTGCAAGTATCATTGCCACTGTTTTATAGCTGGGGAAAACCCAGGCTAGGAGTTGGTGACCCAGTTAAAACCTTGCAGCTAGACTAGGCAATAGGGTTTAGCAATTCCTGGTCCATCTACCAGAGGACAGTGCCTCTCTCTGCAACAAGAGTCCAAGGTGCTATCAGTTATAACAAAGTTACTGCATCATTTTGGTCCGTTGCTGCCAATGTTAGTACTATCTACCTATGGGAAAGGACAAAGAGGACCTCCAGGTCTATCAAGGCTAACATACCACTTACGTTGGTAATGAGATTACTCTGAAACAAAGCTGGCTCTTGCCAGCATCACAGGCCATGTAGGGAGGGACCTGGAAGTTAGTACCTGGTATGCCGTTTTGGCCCCACTGTAGTATTGTTCACAAGACAGTTTTCCAGTGTGTGGCATTGCACAGCAGCAAGCCTTTCCTCCAAATAGATCCTTGCACCTGGTGCTTCAAACTATCACTTTCCAATCCACATCCCTACCAAAATCACTGGGGAGTTTCACCTAGAGTCTCATGGCACAATACACCCCAAATGCACAAGAGTTGCAGGTACAGGGAGAGTAAAACAGCTTTTACCTGGATCTCTTCTCCATTTTGGCTGCTCTCACCGTGGAGCTTCTCCTTCAATTTCCCAAGCTCTGCCCGCAAAACGCCCATCTCTTGTTCCTTGGTTTGTAGGTAGGCTTCCAACTCCACCTTCTGCTCAATCAGTGCTTTCCCTTGAGCCTCAACAACCGTTATTCTGTGCCGAAGGTCATGATTAATTTTCATTAGCCTGTTCTGCTGTTGTTGCAGCTGCAATATAAGCAGCACAGTAAGTCAGCACCCATTAAGTCATGGTAATTAAATCAAGTGTTAATTTAAAGAGCATGCCTGTTGAATTCATGTCTTCTTTTACTTTCATTTTTTTAAACGTCTAATTATCTGCTGCAGTCTCGCTTTCCAAATGTTGTTTAATTAGTTTTCAGAGTAAATGGAGGCACTTTTCCTGCAGCATAAGACATTGTGTTCTTATCATCAAAGCCATTTCTTCAAATGCTACAATCTCTCTTTAAAAGTGTTTCAAAGTAAGGTTTGAGGACATCATGACCCAAGATGAATCAAGCTTTGACCAACGATAGAAATGATAAAGTTATTAATACAGGGTTGATTAATAATTGTATGTTGATAGCACCTGGTTGGAGCCAGCCAAGACCCAGCCCCATTGTGCTAGGCAGTAGACAGTGTGAATCCCAGTTACAGACCATCCCTGCCCTGTGAACCTTACCATCCAAATGGTGGAGACAAAGAAAGGGTGGGAAGTAAGGCAGATGGGGAACTGAAGGCATTGTGTCTCAAGGCTTTGTCATCAAGTGCTCCATAACCAAGATTTGAAAACAAGTCTCCAGAGTCCCAGTCCACACCCTTAACTATGAGCTCTTCCACCTTCCTTGGAGGTCTATCCAGTAGTTCAGTGTACATAGCCTCATCCCAGAATCTTCTAAATAGGTGTCCACACTACCTACAGCACCACACTAGAGCACCTGGTTGACAGACTGTAGAGAAAGCTAGGTTTGAGTGGCTCGTGCAGCCCCTTGCCTTGAGCTGAGATCTTCAAAGGCAAACCTGATGGGTGTCATTTGCAGAGTGCTTTGCCTAAGTGGAGAGATTAAAAATATCCAAAGAGGGAAGGAGCAGCAGTTATGTGCCCAGTTCCCAGATAATTGGAGTTAGGTGCCCAACTTTCCCTTGTGCTAGCTGCTTTTCACAGGCAGCACATTAGGTTGTTTCAAAATTGATATGCTGACTCAGTCCCTGTTCTGAGGAGCTCGCAATCCTTCAAACTTCCTCTGTAGATGCAGAGAAAGGGTCATACTCCAGAGCTGCTAATCTGGCATCATTCATAAATTCTAAAGTCACTTAAAAACTCTTTTGAAAATCCACAGTGTTCTCCAGGGTAGGGAGAAAAGAATAGCCACTTACTGCCTCCACATCCTCATTCTTAAGCCCAAGTTCCCGGTCCTTTGCTCTGATCTCATCCCTCTGTTTATCTACCACTTCCTTCAGCTTCTTCATCACTTGGCGCTCTCTCTCAGACATCCCTAGTTTAAAAAGAAAAGAAGAGAAAGGGGTTGAGAACAGTTAGCTAATGAGACCAATAACAGAAAATTGTGTTAGTGGCATTAGGCAACTTCCATTGCCTTTCAATGAGGGAAAGGCTGTTGGTAGATCACTTAGCTCAAGAAAGCCATGTGCTGGGTTCACAAATCATGGGGAAGAGACTACATAGGTCCACAGGGCATGTCACCCAACTGGCAGGCCTTAACAGCCCTCCAATGCATTTATGATGAGCAGTGAAACAGGAGGTCCATCTCTTTGCTAAGCACCTAGCTGTGATGTTCATACACCAGTCCCATGGGCTTGGGGAGAGAACTATAAGTATGACTAAGAGACGCTCCATAATGGGTCTTTCATTTAAAAAAAAAAAAAAGGTAGGAAAGATTTTTTTATGGAACAATGATGGAATTTTGCATTGGCAGGGTCAAATCTCACTTTACGCACATGCCACTAGGCTTGGTCCTTCACTTGCAGGGAGATTAGTTGGATGCTTTGAGAGGGCCTTTTGGCTTCCCTTGTACAGAGTTGGGTCAAAAACAATGGCTGTTCAGCTTGAGTTAGGACCATACCTTCTCTCTGGATACATATTTTGTCATTCTCTCCTTCCTCACCACCCCATCCCACTGCAGTCATCTGGCTTTAAAAATCAGTGATTCTCAACCAGGGTGCCACCAGGTAATTTCAAGGGTGCCTTGAGGCATGAGGAGATAAGAAGATAAGCATAAGCTCAGGCTTGTCCCTACCCCCACTGACCAGCCCCTCTGCAAGGAGGTGAGCACTGCAATATATAAATTAGTTTTTGAAATCAGGTGCCACTCAAGTCACAGAAGTTTTGGAGGATACCTCGAGTCCAGTGAGGGGTGCTTCAAGTCCCACAAGGTTGAGAACCACCACTTCAAATTAATTACACTTTGGGCAGAGGGGCAAGGGAAGCAGATTTCTCTTGTCACACATGTCTGAAGCAGCTCTAAAGATCTCACCATCAATACTGCTTAACGATTAATGAGGGATTAAATGAACCTGTAGTCTGACCAACAATTCAGTAGGATAACATCAAAAATCACAAGACAGGGCACTCCTATTCATGCCATTCCAGAGCACCTGGATACTGCAATGATGGGCACAACAGCAGGCCACTGTCCTGCCAACAGAAAGCTGTTAGTTTGGTGAAGTTACAGATTTTCTCCCTAAGCTTTACCACCAGCATTAAGAATTGTGGAGATGACGCAGTCTGATTTTCTTGATACATCACAAACAACAGCAAAACTTTCTCTCATGCTGACACAGTTGTGTGTCAGTAAATCTATGGCTCAGGGGCTAATTAGCAGGGCTGCCTTAGGACACATGGGCCTGAATGTGGTTCAGTGGCTAATGGAAGTGGCAGTATCAGTATGGAGTTGCTGTGTGATCTTAGGCAAAGCACTCAGCCTCTCTCTTCCTCATTTCAGACACAGGGAAAAGGCAGGAAAGCTATGAATAGCAATGATTTCCTTACCCCCTGGAGCAGCTGGGACACCAAACTCAATGCCTTTTTTCAATCCACTGGGGCAGCTCTTCAATTAAGTGTGCTGCATCAGCTTTGCTTTGTGGATAGCTGGCTTCAACCATCCCACTAGGTTTTTCCTTTTGTTAGGGGGATCAACATTAAACTCCTATGGGGAGACTTGTGCTTACTGCCTCCACATCAGAGACACTCCCCATAAGAGCACCAGTACTAACAATGCAGTGGAAACGGATGGAAACAGAGAAAACAGGAGAGAGCAAGACAGCCCTGGAAGAGGTGGAGGGGTGGCAGCTAAGCTGCATCCCTTGTCCTTGCCTTCCAAGTCTGTTTTGGAGCCCCTGTGGGTTCCTCACCAGGTGCAAAAGCACATGAATATGGAAAGGGAGAATAGCAGCTTCCTCCCCCCTCCAACACTGCAAAAGCTATCAGGAAGTTACTAGGAGGATGCTAAAGCAAAGAAGAAAGGTAACTTCAAAGGAGTGCAGAAGGGAGGAGGGGTGTGCTAGGAAGGGCTGGCAAGTTGTTCTGGAGGGTGTTGCTGCAGAGACTTTACAGAGTCTGATCATGACTCAGGTGTTCATGTTCCAGTTTGTCTCAGGCTGATCTTTTATCTCCCTGTTGAGCCTCCTTGCTCTGCTTCTGAAGTTGGATCCTCTCCTCAGCCTTAAGCATTTTGGAGGATTCCAGTAATTCTCATGGCTTTGATGCGGCTTACTGGGACCCAGCAGGGAGGACAGTCAGGCTCCAGGACTAAGTTGTCAGCCCTGCTCAGCACACAGCTGGGAGTCTAGATCTGGAATCTTAATCCCAGTTATGAGACTGGACAGTGAGTCAGTGACAGGCTCATCACTAAAGCTCTGTGCCTCAGTTTCCCCAGTTGTAACAAAATAACAAAAAAAAAGCCATGTTTTTGCATAAGTGAGCAGGAGCCCCATTACAAATCAGCAAGGGAACAAGCCTTCCCCCAAAAGCCAGCGGAGCACAGCAGTTATCCATTATACAAGTAGCTTGTCAGGGCAGTTTGATTGCGTGTTGTAACACTACTGTGCATGCTAACATGGTATGCTGGATCCTGGCCTGCTCCCTGCAGAGCCGGATGCAGGATTGATGCCTAAAACATCAGCAGGGCTGGGAGGTACAAAAGAGACTGACAGCAATGAAGAGTACTTGGACTGGCAAGTTTTTACTGCTCCTTACCCACATGGGGGTTACGAGGCTTAAATTCATTTTTGTGTGTACAGTAAAATGCTTTGAGACCCCCCCCCCC